TGAGCCAAGATTGCACCACTGTACTCCAGCCTGGGGACAGAGCGAGACTCCATCTCAAAAAAAAAAAAAAAAAGAAAAAGAAAAGAAAAAGGCATTAGCCAGTCATCCTGCACAGCAGCCCAATATTGAGCCTGTGTGAGTTGCCATTTGTGTAGTGAAGCAATAGAGGCCATGGTCTGGACTCGGAAATCCTGGGTTCAAATACTACCTCTGACTCCCAGCTCCCCAACACAGTGCACACATTCAGTGGCCATGTAACCAGAGCAAATGCTTCTCTTTCCACAGCCCCAATGCAGGAATAATAATAGCATCCACCTGGTGTTGGGTGGGAGGGTTCAGAGAGAACAGCCACACAGGGCTACAAGTGGAGGCTATTGTGACCGAGCAACTGCCCACCTGGACAGAGTGAACAGGACAGGAATAGAAGGGCAAGGTGCTTTCCCCTCATCTTCACGAGAGCTCTTTGTGGGGAGACTATTACACAAGCAGCGGTGGGAGTTCCTTCCCAGTATATCGAGTTCCCTTCTTAAGGCACAGAAAACCCCATCTGCATAAATTTTCCTCAATTGGTCAATCACGGTGCCAGAAGTCCCTACACCACTTGAACTGCTCCTTCAAGTTAAGTCACTTTATCTGCCAGCTGCATTAGTTTAAACAAGTCAGTTTCCAAGTCCTGAGCTGCTGCTTTTATCATCCCATTAACATAGAAAACTAAGAGTAGGGGCCAGACACAGCGGCTCACACCTGTATTCCCAACAGTTTGGGAGGTCGAGGTGGGCAGATCACCTGAGGTTAGGAATTCAAGACCAGCCTGGCCAACATGGTGAAACCCTGTCTCTACTAAAAATACAAAAATTAGCCAAGTGTGGTGGCAGGCACCTGTAATCCCAGCTACTCAGGAGGCTGACACAGGAGAATCGCTTGAACCGGGGAGGTGGGGGTTACAGTGAGCTGAGATCAGGCCACTGCACTCCAACCTCCATCTCAAAAAAAAAAAAAAAACATGCAGTACATAGAATGAGACTTTAAAGATTTTGCATTTATTTACTGGAGAATTTAAACCAAAAAGGTACAGACCCGCCAGAAAATACAAAAATTAGCCAGGTGCGGTGGTGCACAGGTAGTGCCAGCAACTCAGGAGGTCAAGGCAGAAGAATTGCTTGAATCCCGGAGGTGGAGTTTGCAGTGAGCCAAGATCATGCCACTGCACTCCAGCCTGGCAACAGATCAAGATATCATCTCGAAAACAAAGAAAGAAAGAAAAAAAACAAAACAGCAATATGGACCAGGCAGAGTGGCTCACACCTATAATGCCAGTACTTTGAGAGTCCAAGGCAGGAGGATCATTTCAGGCCAGGAGTTTGAGACCAGTGTGCACAACATAAGACTCCATCTCTACAAGAAATTAAAAATTAGCCAGGTGGCCAGGTGCGGTGGCTCACGCCTGTAATCCTAACACTTTGGGAGGCAAAGGCGAGCAGATCACCTGAACTCAAGTTCAAGACCAGCCTGGGCAACATGGTGAAACCACATCTCTACAAAAATAGAGAAAATTAGCCAAGCATGCTGGTGTGTACCTGCAGTTCCAGCTACTCAGGAGGCTGGGGTGAGAGGATCACCTGAGCCTGTTGAGGTCGAGGCTGCAGTGAGCCGTGATCGGGCCACTTGCACTCCAACCTAGGTGACAGAGCAAGGCCCCATCTAAAAAAAAAAAAAAAATAGCTGGGTGTGGTGGCCTGTGGCCTGTGGTCCCAGCTACTAGGAGGCTGAAGCGGGAGGATCGCATCACTGCACGCCATTCAGCCCTGAGCAAGACAGCAAGACCCGGACTATATTAAAATAAATTCCAAAAAGAAAAAGCAATAGGAAGAAGCAACTCAACCACAAGTATGTTACTAAAGCCCTAAACAGAAAATTAGCCCGTTTCCAGAAGAGGCCAAGAACAGATGATACGGCTGCACTGAACTCCTGCCTGTGCATCCCGCTTTCTACAAGATTCCAGTCCTGGAAGATAACAGCATCCAGCCCCCATTCAAGCACCTCGAGCATGAAAAACGCAGAGCCCAAAGAGCCAGGCCATGAACACACTATTCCTGTCTATAAATAACTCCCCCTGGAGAAAAAACAGCAGGATCCAAGGCAGGAAACCCGAGCCGCAGAATCTGGTGGGTTCTTAGGGAACCCACTCACGGGCCTGAGTCCCCCGTGGCAGCGGCAGCCCGGTACCTGGACCCCCGAGTCCCCGGAGCCCCGGGCGGCCGCGCCTCCCTACCTGCAGGCCCGATCCCGGCCGCGGAGCACTAGTGGCCCCTCACCCGCTCGGCTCCGGGACCGCGGAAACGCACCCAGCGGGGTGAGGGCATCGTAGCCAAGGGCAGCGCAGGTGGCAGCGGAGGCGTGGGAGCCGGAACCGACCTTGAGAAAGGACCAGGTCAGGACGCCTCTTGGCGCAGCCCCAAATCCTGCCCGCGCCCCAGCCCCGCTCAGGCGGCGCCCCTGCCACCTCTGGCCACACCGGCTGGGACGTCTGGCTCCTGCAGACCGCGCTTCCCGCTGCCCTCCTGCGCTGGGCTGCTCACGCCTGCCTCACCAGCCCAGCATCCGCGGGGATCCCTAGCTGTCCTTTAGGGCTTGCCTCATAGGTCAAACGTCACCTCCCAGGGAGGAATGGCCTATCCCCTAGCCAGGTGGGCCTCTTCCACGCTCTCCTGCACCACCCACCCACCTTGATAACTGCTTCCCCCTTGAGACTGCAAAACTTCAAGGGCAGGAAATGGGTCTGTTTTCCTGGCAAATAATGAAGTTGGTGGAAGGTTTTGCTGAATAAAATGAGTGACAGACAAAAGTAGCCAAATCGGGCACTCTTGATGGGTTATTTGGTGAAGGAGGTGCAGAATAGGCTTAATTCGTTATTGGATTTCTTTCCCCATGTTACTCCTCCCTAATTCTGATGAGGAACTGAGAGCTGGATCTATTGATCTATTAACTCTTAACCTCCCTTTTCTTTTTCTTTTCTTTCTTTCTTTCTTTCTTTTTTTTTTTTTTTTTTTTTTTTTTTTTTTTTTTTTTTTAAGGTTTTTTTTTTTTTTTTTTTTTTTTTTTTTTTTCTTTTTTTTTTTTTTTTTAAACACGAGTCACAATCTTGGCTCACTATAACCTCCATCTCCCGGGTTCAAGCGAGTCTCCTCCCTCAGCCTCCTGAGTAGTTGGGATTACAGGTGTCCACCACCACGCCCAGATAATTTTTGTATTTTTAGTAGAGTCGGTGTTTCACCATGTTGGCCAGGCTAGTCTCAAACTCCTGACCTCAGGTCATCCACCTGCTTCGGTCTCCCAAAGTGCTGGGGTTACAGGCGTGAGCTACCATGCCCAGAATTACTCTTCGTTTTCTAAGGGCGCTACCAGACTTCTCTTGCTATCTTAAACACAGAGTCCTAATTCTGCCATTGGAACCCTGAATCCTTCACTTTTAGCACAACAGTTTCTTTCTTTTTTTTTCTTTTCTTTTTTTTTTTTCTATTTGCAAACAGAGCACAACAATTTCAAGCAAAGACCTGCAGCCTCTCCTCCGTTTGGGGGAATGCGGGACTCTTTAATCTGTGGTGAGACACATATGATTTTTTTTTTCATGCTGTTAATTAGAATACTATCCCCCAAAGAGGAAGAAATAAATAGGAAAAGGAATCTAGTCTGATGCCCCAGAAGTGTTTACGGATGGTCTGCAGAATAGCCCTACGAGAAAGAAAATCTCAAATGACACAGCCTATCACTGCGGGGGTTTCTGGTAAAATAAGAGCTGAAGTTTAGGGATGATCAGACTTAGACTCAAAGTCCTCAATCACATGATTTTTGTTTTTTTCTTTTTGGTCTATCCTATCAATTAGTGAATGTTAAAATCTTTGACTATATTGTGGATTTGGATTTGTGTGTTTGTTTTGAGATGGAGTTTTGCTCTGTCGCCCAGGCTGGAGTGCAGTGTTGCGATCTCAGCTCACTGCAACCTTTGCCTCCTAGGTTCAAGCAATTCTCCTGCCTAAGCCTCCCGAGTAGCTGGGACTACAGGTGTGCGCCACCATGCCCAGCTAATTTTTGTATTTTTAGTAGAGACGGGTTTCGCCATGTTGGCCAGCCTGGTCTGGAACTCCTGACCTCAGGTGATCCGCCCACCTCAGCCTCCCAAACTGCTGGGATTACAGGTGTGAGTCACCTCACCCAGCCTAATCACATGATTTTTCATATTCCACGTTTGAGTGTCATTCTTCAATTGGTAGACCATTTTTCCCACAAAGTTTGCTCCCCTAATAGTGAAGAGAGCAGTCCTAGATAAAACATTTTAGCCACATCTTTGGCAAATCTTTAGGACATATCTCTATGTTCCATATTCCTACAAATGAGATTACCAAGTCAAAGGATATGACACTTTCTAAAACTACTATACATCATTTCTTACCTCCAATGTTTCATAATTTTATCTTCTAGTAAAAGATAAAATTATCCTCTATCTTGGAGGTGATAAGACTGAGGACTGAGTTTAGAACACCCTTGGCCACACGAAGTGCTTTTTAAAATCTTTCTGAGTTTGATTCATGAAAATTCAATCTCTCTTTAAAAGATTAGTTTTTTATTTCCCTTTGAATTGCTAGAAAAACTAATTCTTTTCCAATTGTTTTACTGGTCATTTGCATTTATTCTATGAATTAATGTGGATTTGGGATATTGTTCTTATTAATTTATATAGGTTCCTTCTATATTAAGGATGTTAATTCTTAGGCTTTCAGATATGTGGTATATTTTTAACCCAACTTATCATTTGCATTTTAATTGTGTTTGAAATGATCTGATGCACCATTTTAAAATTCTAATTAAGTTAAACTTTTCACCTTTGCCTACATGGCTTTTTCCATTGATTTTATGTTCAGAAGTCCTCCCCAATTTCCCAAACTATAAATATTTCCTAGTACTTTTTTTTAAAACAGAATCTCTGTCTCTCTCTTTCCCCTCAACCTTTCTTTCTCTCCCCACTCTCTCCCTCTCTCTGTTGCCCAAGCTATATAGAATGCAATGGCCCAATCACAGCTCACTGCAGCCTCCTTGACCTCCCCAGGCTCAGGTGATCCTCCCACCTCAGCCTCCTGAGTTGCTGGGACTACAAGCCTGCGCCACCATGCCAGGCTAATTTTTTGTATTTTTTGTAGAGATGGAGTTTTGCCATGTTGCCCAAGCTGGTCTCCTGGGCTCAAGTGACCCACCCACCTTAGCCCCCCAAGGTGCTGGGATTACAGGCATGAGCCACCACGCCAGGCTTGCCTCATACACTGTTTTATGGTATGTTTGTTTGTTTTTTGCTTTATAAAAATATTATTCAATAAGTAGATTTCCAGGCCTTGCATGGTTTCCATTCAATGTTTCTAAGATTGACACATATCATTTTGCAAAGCTGCATTTTATTCATGTTCACTGCTATATAATATCCTACTTGTGATCATATCCTACCTTATTTAGCCATTCTCCTGCTGATCAGCATGGAGTTATTTCCAGTTTGTTTCCTCTGACTAATAATCCTGTTATGAACGTCCACTGGCTTGCCTCCTGGAGCCCCTGGGCAGGCATTTCTCTGGGTGTGGACGCATTACTACATAGGCCCAGAAAGCATGAATGTGCAGAATTCAGAGATAACGTTAAACTGTTTTCCAAAGCAGTTATACCAATGGACACACCCATTAAAAGTGACTTTTGTGGCTGGGTGTGGTGGCTCATGCCTGTAATCCCAGTACTTTGGGAGGCCAAGGCAGGCAGATCATGAGGTCAGGAGTTCAAGACCAGCCTGGCCAACATAGTGAAACCCTGTCTCCACTAAAAATATAAAAATTAGTCAGGCATGGTGGCATGAGCCTGTAGTCTCAGCTACTTGGGAGGCTAAGGCAGGAGAATCACTTGAACCCGGGAGACAGAGGTTGTGGTAAGCTGAGATCAAGCCACTGTACTCTGGCCTGGGCAACAGAGCAAGACTCCACCTCAAAAACAAAAGTGACTTTTGTTTTCGACTCAGTATTTTTCAGGTCAAATACATTTTCCTTTCGATGTTGGATTTATACTGATTTTCACAAACTGGCTTAGAGAATTACGAGGTCCTCAAACACAAAGCCTCATATTGTGGTTCTTAATCAAGAAAATCTTCTAGAGGCAATGATCCAGCTAATTACAGATCCCCTACTGTCCACATCTAAATTTAGGCATAGCGGCTGGGATTAGACCCATGACAATTCCAGGGGTGTTATGAACTTAAAAACTCTGACGTAAGCATGGTGTGGGGAGTGTTTGCAGTAACATGAGAATCCTGTGCACAACAGTATAAACAGCTGCTTCAGAATCTACTGCTCTCACCTCCCACGTTCCATACAACCTCTTCTTTATTTTAGTCTTTATTTATTATGTTTGTTTATTTATTTATTTTGAGACAGAGTCTTACTCTGTCACTCGGGCTGATTTATTTATTTATTTATTTAGAGACAGAGTCTCACTCTGTCACTCAGGCTAGAGTGCAGCAGCACGATCTCAGCTCACTGCAACCTCCACCTCCTGGGTTCAAGTGATTCTCCTGCCTCAGCCTCCCAAGTAGCTGGGATTACAGGTGCCCGCCACCACACCTGGCTAATTTTTATATTTTTAGTACAGATGGGGTTTCACTATGTTGGCCAGGCTGGTCTCGAACTCCTGACCTCAACTGATCTGCTCACCTCGGCCTTCCAAAGTGCTGGCATTACAGGCATGAGCCACTGTGCCGGGCCTATAGACTTTAATAGCAAACATTCCTTATAAAAATGATTTTTTTGTTTTTGAGTCAGGGTATATCACAGGCTGCAGTGCAGTGGTGCTGTCATAGCTCATGAGCCTGCAACTTTTATGCTCAACTGACCCTCCTGCTTCAACCTCCCAAGGAGCCGATACTACACACACAAACCACCAGAGCCAGCTAATTATTTTTGTATTTTTGTTTTGTTTTGTTTTGTTTTGTTTTTGAAACAGAGTTTGACTGTTGCTGTCTAGGCTGGAGTGCAATGACGAAATCTCGGCTTACTGCAACCTCCGCCTCCGGGGTTCAAGCAATTCTCCTACCTCAGCCTCCCAAGTAGCTGGGATTACAGGCATGCACCACCATGCCTGGCTAGTTTTGTATTTTTAGTAGAGATGGAGTTTCTCCATGTTGGTCAGGTTAGTCTTGAACTCCCAACCTCAGGTGATCCGCCCACCTCGACCTCCCAACATGCTGGGATTACAGTCATAAGTCACCTTGCCCGGACTATTTTTGCATTTTTACAGAGATGAGGTCTTGCTATGTTGCCCAGGTTGGTCTCAAACTCCTGGCCTCAAACGATCTAACCAGCTTGGCCTCACAAAGCACTGGGATTATAGGCATAAGCCACCACACCTGGCCAAGAGTGTGTTTTTTAAATTAGAAAATTGTAAATGTTCAATAAGGAACATATTAGCAAACTGTGGTAGAGCAGTCGCCCCTTATCCACAAAGGGTACGTCCCAAGACCCCCAGCAGATGCCGGAAGCACAGACAGTACTGAGCCCTATATTTCCTATCCATACATATCTATGATAAAGTTTATAAAGTGGGCACAACCACAAATTAACTCATGATAAAATGGAGTCACAATAAACTAATAATACAATTAAATAAGGACGACTTGAACACAAGCACTGTGACAGAGCAACAGTCGATCTGATCACCAAGAGAGCTACTGAGTTACAAATGGGAGAATCTGCTGGACAAAGAGATGATTCGTGTCCCCAGTAAGACAGAACATGACAGTGTGAGATTTCATCATGCTGTCCAGAAC